ATAATCATTACAAGAGGATCAATGCATATAAGTTTAAAGTCTAATAGATTTTTGGTAAATGGTAGAAATTAGAAATTCTTACTTTTACAATAAAGATTTGGGATTGTGAAATGAGTATCATTGGAATCATGTTCAATTGATCTACATCACAATGTAAGGATCATAGACAAACATAGTGTGCATACTTGGGGTATGGCATAACTATTGTTTAGAAAAACAAAGTGTACATGCTAGGAGCATGGGACGACTGTTGTTTTTATTCAAGTCTTAAGTTGATTATTTGAAACATTGAATAATGTGTAATCAATATGGTGATAAATAAAAGGTGGTTTTATTTATATTCAAAAGGGTTCTGAGACCATATTAGATTCGATTATTATTGTGTTTCACTTTGCATGTTTTGACTTCCAAAATAGCTAGGTTATTCTTTTCGAATGACTAAGTTATTTAAACACTCCACAGTCGTTCATATGTTGGAAGTAGGTATGAATCAAGACTGTCATGAATCGGGTTTGTAGATGGCTAAATGGGTTTAGTCATGGCAATGGTTGCTACAACATTCATGAGTGCTCATAAGTTATGAGTATTGGAATAAACCCACGCTCACTTGTATCACTTCATGGAATTTATCTCGAGTGATCGTGAGACGGTAATATCATATAAATCTTCAAACCTAGAGATATGAGTTGTTACCTATGAGTTGGTTGTGCATTGATTGCACGTAAACGCATCAGTAACTTGATGTTATAAAACGTGCCTTTGTGTACAATTCAACAAGTAGTAGAACAAGCATATGAGTCGAAGTTTATCTGTTCCTTCTAGAAATAGAAGCGATATCTGGGCCCCTCGATGATTTTGTTGTGACCTATGTACCGGCCGGTCAGAACTGAATTGATGTGTTCGATTAAGTTCTTTGTCAAACAAATCGAAAATCGGGAAACAAACTGCTGGACAATAAGTACGACGTTGTTCCATGTATTTGTCCGGCTGATATCATGAGAACAGAGGATTATATGATCCCTTATCTAATGGACAAGTCATTGACAAGGTCAGAGTTCATCTACAAGGTCAGAGTTCGACAGAAGCTTTTGAGAGCTACGATTGCCAGTTGGTTCCTGAAGTCATACGCAATAATAGTTTTAGACTTATCCAAGTGGGAGACTGTTGGATTAATGTCTAAGTCCATAACTATAATTGGTAAGACTTGACCCGACCCGGCATGGTCCATTTGGGTTGCATACCATCATGCACTTGGATAGACTATAATGAGAGAAATAAGACACTTATGGTTATTAATATATTATAAGTTCTAGTATATTAATAATAAGAATAATAAGATTATTTAATTAGTATTGATCAAGAATTAATCTAGGATTAATTAAGTGATCAAAAGAAGACTAATTAAATATATGGGTTGATTGTGTAAATCATCCATACTTATATAGTGGGCTAATGCTCCATGGATAATCAAGTTGGGCTAAAACCCATAGGATGGTCCATGGATGCTCCATGGTGTATTTGAACCCATGGATCCAAGGAAATGGAAAGCCATGACAATTAAGGATTTACCCTAATTGTAACACTATATAAAGATCTTATTCTTGACAAAAATCGGCCACTAGAATCACATTAGAAAGTGAAGAAGAGGGCTAGCCGATTTCATGAAGTGTAGAACTCTCTCAAGTTATTCTAAGTGTTTTGATGATTGTGATTCCATTTGAGGCTTCCACACTATTGGGGCTAGGCACTCAAGCTTCATGAAGACTTTCTACATCAAAGAGGTATGTATTCTATCTTGTTACACTCATTGTTTTGTATGCTAGATTAGAATAATACCTTGGATGTTCTTATTTGCATGTATAATAGAGAAAACATAGATCCAAGGTATTTAGGGTTGCATGTACGCTTAGGAGTGTTAGAATGCTCAAAACCCAACAGATAACTCATATCAAACTTTTTCATGTAATTAGCCTAAACATTAAACTTATACAAAACATGAATCTATTGAAAATTATCTTTGAAATTGTTTTAGAATTAACATTACCACATCAAAAACAGGCTTATAGGTTCAAAAACAGCTTTGGGTAATGATTCTAGTCCAATTCCAGCCTTAAAAGTCAAAAATATGTTGCCAGGGGGTCCTACTCATTAAGTGTATGAACCTACTCAACGAGTAGGATGAGTTTCTTCATGGACTCGGTGAGTCCATCAGTGGACTCGGTGAGTCCATCAGTGGACTCGGCGAGTCCAGTGCCCAGACAGCCAGAAAATCGATTTTTTCAGCTTTTTTCAGCAAGTTGCATCAAGTATAATTGAAAACAAGCCTAAGCTCTGATATCACTGATGTGTTATGGGCATTCTAACACTCCTAAGGTGTACATGCAACCCGAAATACCTTGGATCTATTTTTTCTCTTTGATACATGCCAATATCAACTTTCCAAGGTATTATCCTAACTAGCATACAATCTTGTGTACTTGCGTAACAAAAATAGATAGAATACAAACCTTTTTAATGTAGCTTGATTCCATGGAGCTCAAGAACCTAGTGCCCCAAATGTGACACCTCAAATGGTTCACACAACATCACCAACATTTGGAATAGCCTTGAGAAGAGATACATGGACTCTAGAAATCGTCTTACCCTCTTGTGTATACACTTGTGCCAATTTCACCAACCAATGGGGTCTTTATATAGTATGGGTATTAGGGTTACACCATGTAACTCATGACTTTACCTATTCCTTATGCTTCATGGGTTTTAACCTCCATGGAGTATATATGTGTCACCACATGGTTTAAACCCAACATAAGGAATCATGGATCATAAATCCCACATATATAAAAATGAATGATTTACACAATCAATCCTCATATGTTTAATTAATCTCTTTTTATCACTTAATTATTTCCAAATTAATTCTTGATCAATACTAATTAAATAATATGATGTCATATTAATATACTATAACTTATAATATATTAATATGTCACAAATATCCTCTTCTCACAAAAGGTCTGCCCAAATGTTCTAATGTCATGCAAGGACCATGTCGGGTCGGGTCAAGTATATACCAATTATATTTATGGACTTAGACACTAATCTAACACATAACTCTAAGTCATTTATCAGATTCGAGATCTAACATAGCATCTTGGTATTTGATGGATTTTCTAGAAACCATCAATAAAAGTTCATCAATGAGAGATTCCACACTTCTCAAGTCATAGATGATTTCTACTACTAATGCAAAAAAATTGTGTTTGTGAATAGCTATAATTCAAGTTTAACAATCCTTGTTAAGACTAGTGCTAACTATTACTACATAAGGTTATGGCTCTTGAGTTTCTTCAAGTTCCATGTACCTCCCACTTGCTTTGTCATTAGAAGCTTGATTTCTACTGACTTAGCTTTCACAAGAATAAGAGAACTTATTCTTGGTGGGTTTGCATATGATAATCTAAGCCACATTTAGAGTATTATACAAATATGTATTTAGTAGATTTTGGCACTACTAGAAAAACAACCTTTTACGACGCTCATTGCACGTTGTAAAACGCTCAGACGATGCGCAAATGTGCGTCAAGGAAGGCCCTATCATAAGCGCGTCGTCTATAGACGACGCGCGGTTATGACACGCAATGCGTATCAAGGAAGGCCCTGTCATAAAGAAAGACAACACGCTTTTTGTGTGTCGTAACCTTACAACGCACGTGTTTATGACACGCAATGCGTATCAAGGAAGACCCTGTCAAGAAAGGCCATGTCATAAATGAAGACGATACATATTTTGCGTATCATAATTTTAATTTTTTTATAAAAAAAATTATTTATAGATTTACTGATTTTCAAATTAAATTTGCATTTCATGTCTCATAATAGAAAATAAAATACCATATCCAAAAAAAATACCATATACAAAAAATATAATACATTGTAATACATTGATATTAAAGGGATCTAATTATACATTGTTATTAAGAGGTTTTCCCTAACTATATAACCTAATACTACATTACTATAAAGGGCACCTTCTTTTTTAAGTAACTCATCATTAAGTTGTCATAAGAAGCTCTGAAACCCTTCATGTATCCAACCAATGATCATGTCTATTAGCTTAAATATGAATCTCAACTCTTAATGAAGAACAACACGGAAATCCTACACAATAATCATGTCAGTTGTACAATATCCATATCAACTGATTAATAATATACATGGTATGTATGTATGAGAGTGGAATCAAAATGATCTACCAATAAGAGTTTTGTATTTCCTTGAATCAAAGTATTTTTGATGGCCTAAGGGAAGCTCCCAAAGGACACTCCTTACCTGTGCCATCTTCCTTTTGAATTTGTAGGAGTGTCTGGCAGTTCAAATCAGAAAAGAAAACCAACCAAACCATTACACTTCTATCCTTGTTCATGTTAAAAAATTCCTTTCTATACATATACATATCTAGAGAGTGACAATTAATCAGCACAAAACTTACCACCAGACCTGGAAGGCTGCCCTGGCACATAACTAATTGATATTATGCATGACTTGAATTCCATAATGGAGATGAGTAATTGAAGGGAACCAATAGTATATAAACAGCTCAAGACAGAAAACTTACTGTTGACGTGACAAAATATAATAAACCAAAGTGCCATATGCTTTAAGAAAGATTTGTAAAAACCTAATCATTGGTTCAAAAACAAAATATATTGAACAAAATTCATTTCATTTGATCACGAAATGAAAAGGGTCAGCAACATAAATACTTGGGAACCCATAATTAATTAGAGCTGATGATGGATTTTATCAACAAATTGTGAGCTTTCAGTTTCACACCTATTATTAACAACAACAGTGAAATCAGGAAGATATAATATTTACAAATATAATCAATAATGAAAGAAGAGTAAAAACCTTTCTAAAGTACAAGTCCTGTCAGACTTTCAATGATTCAAGACTGCAGCAGCCACAAGAGGTGCACTTTGTGTTTAGCGATTTCTTCATGTTCCTGTTGTTGTTAAAATTCTACTTTTAGCATGTGCTACTGCCGCTTCTTTATCTGCTTGTGGTTTCTCTGTTTCTTTTCTGCTTTTTTCTTCAACAATAATACTTCCTTTATCATCAGTTTCTGGCAGTTTACTTTCTTTATTGATTAGGGATTCAGATGGGACAACTTCATCACTGAAGGAAAAACAGTTAAACATTAAATACTAACATAAAAAGAACAACAACATTAACAATAATTGGTAAATAAAACTTACAGGATAAATATCGAACTAGATTCAATGTCGCTTGTGGAATGTTTGCCAATAGTAGTAGCCTTCGAATTGGATGCTTCCTGTAACAGAGAAAAGTTAACATTCCAAAGTTTAGATAATATTATAATATATATATATATATATGTGTGTGTGTATGTATGTATGTATGTATGTATGTATGTATCCTTACATTATTGGCAAATGAAGTTGAATCTACATCATGGTCCCTAATATCTTGAATTTCATCATCATCTTGCACCTTCGTTAAATATGAACAATCGAACATTTCAGTTATAGTTGATTATTTAATAGTTACCATATAAAGGATGTAAATTTGAAAAAGAAAAAACAAGATCTATGATAATTAAGATGAATACCAAGGATGCTTTGAATTTTAAATCTTCAAGGTCAAAATTCCAAGCACCAACACCTCGCTGATACTCACTCTGTTTATCATCATCAATAAGAAAAAAGAATTAGACATACAAAAACTATAATAAGAAAATAAAATAAAAAAAATGCTTCTTGTAACCATTGATATGGTTTCTTGCTCGGATGAAGGCATCTTTTTAAGTGCTAGTTGGGTAGCATCTTTTGGCTGCAGATAGATATTTATGAATTATATATAAATAAATGTGATAATACAATTTTATAAATTATACGGTGGATGCATACCTGGGGGGCTTTGACACAATGCCAAAGTCGTGGCAAGTCACCAAATAATTTCTTGGCAGAGAGTTCTAGAGCTTTAGCTTTCTTACAAAAAAGGTTTAACAACTTCTCAACATTGCCACCATTTCTTTAATATACTGTTTTTTCACAATTGGGCCCTACTGGATGGCTTTAGAAGAAAGCCTCTTCAGATGCAAGTGCATCATGTATTCCACGATTAAGCTTAATATCCTGTGAACATAGAAATGATGTTAGAAGATTGTATACTATTCACGACCTTTCTCAAATCATCTATTCCATGATTAAGCTTACTATGTTTTCAGAATTCAGATATATGGGGATTTGTTGTTTCAAGCACTAAGGAGATGACAGCTAGATCTACTTCTGTTTGGTGGTTTGATATCAAAATCACATATTCTCCCTGATGGTTTATTAATAATTATTAGGATTTGAACTAATCATATTCATATAATATAGAATAATAGAAACAAGTATGGGAATGAGAATGAGGAACCTAATTAAGTTGTTGTTCTATTTTAGTGAAAAGGGAGAGTGAGTGGGCCCCTATTTCAGCTATGACTTCATAGCTTTGATCCACATTGACTTCTGGTTGGACATTCCTTAGACGAGAACTTGCCCTTGTCATGGTTGTTTCCATCTGAGCAACATTAACAGATCCACCAATTTTTTCAGGCAGAGTGTCACACCCCCAAACCAAGGATGATGGAAACGACCGGGGGTGGAGGACTTCATGTAGAGTATCACAACAACGAGTATAATAGTGCTCAAAGTAAATACGACCATCACAAATATAATTGAAAAAGTTACATCAAAGTACATGTTTACATGGTTCACATTAATTACATTATGATACAAAATGAAATGTTTGACGAGTTATCGTCCCATCCTCAAAACGTTGTTGATTTCCTGTTTCACTGAATTCCTGAGAATACAAGTAGTTTTGAAAAAGTGTCAACACAAAGGTTAGTGAGTTCATAAGAGATTTCGTTTGAAGTAGAAAAACGTTTCCTTGTAAAATCGATAGAGTTTGATTTCCAGAAAATCCGATATTTTCTATAAAATCTGTGTAATGTAGTCTTATGACCGAAGACCAAAATGTATAAGTAACCTCTCTCACTAATAGAAAATGATATGTGTTTAAATGGACATGAACGCGTTTGAATTAAATGAAATTTTCGTATATTCTTATGTTTGTTAATACTTTATGTATATGTACTCCTAAATCGAGGACCGAGAAATAACAAATATTGGCCATACTTAAAGGTATAAATGTGGTTTCAAATGATGTGTAGTCATAATTACCAAAACCGAAAGTATACAGTAATATCTGTACTCATTGAGATAAAAAGTGATTTTAAATCGACATAAAACCCATTTAGATTTTATAAATAAAATCCTGTAAACTTTATGGATTGTTATATCCCTATGTGAGTCGCTATAATCATACTATGACTGAATGAACCTGCCACGACGTTTCTCAGGCGTCGCAAAACTGAAATGACATTTGTCACCCGTAGACCTACAGGTCCCACTGTAGCTAGCAGCAAGGTGTGGGGTGTTAAACCCAATATAGATCTATATAACAAGTATCACGTTCTCCCTCCAGGAGACTCTGATTATAACTACCAGGAATTATATCCCGCACTCGGACGTACAGGAAGAGAATGTCTCACAATTTAGGTTAACAAGTTTACGTGTAATGTGTGTGAATGTAAATCTTTTCTGTATGAACATACCCTTTTTGTACGAGTGTGTTATGTGATGTATCATAAACTATACCTATTATAGTTTATCTAAAACGTTTGTAATATGTAAGAACTCTTTTATGGAAATGCATTAATGTTATGAATCCATTAAACTATGCTTTTTACAGTTTAATATACGTGTTCTAAATGAATGAATAATCTTATCATGAATGACTTTGTTTCAGTTTATGATGATAAACTAACAAGGAAACACATTCAAAATTAGAACTTATGATTATACACTTTGCTCAACATAATACAAAGTGTTATGATATTTATATGTTGTTAACTAACTTTAACCTTTCTGCACTGTTTTGGAAAAATCATAGAAATATCATATGAAGTCGAAAACTAGATCCGTAAATTCTGAGAGTTCCCAAAATGTGTCTAGTTTAATCATAATTTTTATCATGATTTTTGGAAGCCTTTAACTTGTATTAAAATGCTCATATTCACAGACTGGTCCGGATTTGTGTTTGAAAAGACAGGCTGTTTTGTAAAATCACCATAAATTGTAGAAAAATCTTGTGGAGATGTGCAAGTAGTAATTTTAAAGCTAAGAATTGGAACTACTTACACCTAAAATATTTTGGAAAAATAAAATGTTTAAGTTGTCCAAAACAGTCCGTCAATGGAGTTGAACTTTTCTGATGAAGGCTGTTAGAAAAGCTTAGTTATGTTCTTGGTGTTTTAACTTGTATTCCCCCCTTAAAAACTTGACAAAACATTAAAATGTAAGGGTATGAACTCACCTTGAGTGATTTAAGTAGATAAGTGTTGAAGAAGAGAAGTGTTCAACCCAAGAACACTTGAAGAATCACTTGAAGATTTGAAGCTCTAACACAATTATGATGGAGTTTGTGTAAGATATCCATGATTTGAGTGGAAATAAGTGAGATACTCATAAGGAGAATGAATTATGCTTACCAAATGTGGAGGAAAAACCCAAGATCAGCCCTTGAATCTCGAATTTCTAGAGAGAGGAAGTGAGAGAGGAAAGAGTTTGATCTTCTTAGTGAAATGAGAGAAAATGGGAGAAATGAGGAGATAGGATGAATGTCCAGCTCTCAAAAACATGGGAAAGAGTGATAATTGAGTGGCAAGGACATTGATGTGACCTAGGTAAGGTGGGGAGGTGTGGCTGGTCATAGAGTGGGTGTGGGAGTGGTTGCTTGTGTCATAAGGTAAAGCAAAGTCAACACTCCACCTCTTTGTACTTTACCCACTAGCTTTTATTATTTAAATAAAGATTTTCATGAAAATATGATTAATTGTGAATATTTAGGGTTTATTATGTTAAAATATGATTTTTGGTGAAAATCCCGCGTTAAAATAATTAAAAACGGGCCTTAAACGCAAAAGAAGTCGAAAACCGGGAGAAGAGGCATTTCCAGCGAGACCTCTCGGTCCTAGGCTGAGGTTCAGTCCCTAGGCCGAGGTTCGGTCCTTGCTGATGCCGAGCCGGAAACGAAGGGAGGCGAGGAAACAAAAGGAGGCGAGGAAGCGAAGGGTTCGGTCATGGGCATCAGAACCGAAATAGCCCGAATGAACAGTACCTTCGGGTTCGGTTCCAGGAGCCTTCGGGTTCGGGTATATGTGCGAGGTTCGAGCCTGCAAGGACCTTTCGGGTTTGGTTCTTCCTGGGCGAGGTTCGGCCCTGAGAGGACCTTCGGGTTCGGGTCTCCTAGATTCGGTCCTCTTGGTTTTGGTTCTTAGCAGGTTCGGTCCCTATAGGAACCTTCGGTTCTAAGAGGTTTCGCCTCTAATAAGAGGGTTTCGGGTCCTTAAGCCTATTTTACTCGTTTTTACCCCGTTTTAAGCCGTTTTTGACCCGGTTAAGGGTCGGAATGACCCAAATGACTTCAAAAAGTTACGGAAACTTTTGAGAGAGATTTCACATACTTGGAGAGATTTCTCATACAAAGAGATATTTGGGAGAGATTTCACATACTTAGAGAGATTTCTCACACAAAGAGATATTTGGGAGAGATTTCACATACTTGGAGAGATTTGGGAGAGATTTGACATTCTTAGAGAGATTTGGGAGAGATTTGACATTCTTAGACAGATTTGGGAGAGATTCTTGATATTCTTATAGAGATTTGGGAGAAATTCTTGATAAGAAGAGATAGAGTGAAAACGATTCAGAGAGGTTTCATGTGTGGCATTTGCGAGTGTCTGGCTTCTCAATGCAAGGTTTGTAAACCCTGTTAAGCCTTGTTTAAGGATCTTACACACTCCCGATGAGTATGCAACATTGTTTTATCGATTTGGCTCGCCACGTACCACAGTTTTAGGTTAAGGAGATCTAGATGTTCGCACTTTTTGATTTATGATCTCTCATTAGAATACAGAGTTGTGTAGAAGTTTCATAATGTAAATTCTAGTACCCACGGGCAACTTGAGTCAAACGGTTTGACTTGTTGACTTTAGTTGACTTTGACTTGACCGAAAATTGATGGTTGTCACACAGAGTGAGTGGGCCCCCGTTTTCTACTATTTTTCACAATAACTCACCAATGCGGGGTCCATCTGTTATAGCATTCCATGCACCTGTAACCCCAAAAACACTTCAATCACACCAAAACTTTGATCTTTTGTATGTGCAGAGGACATAATTGCCCTTGTCATCAAGAGTAGTCTTAGAAAGCTTTGTAATTAAGTAAAAGAAAATGGGCCAAATTAATTCATTTTCATATCTTTATAGTGTTATCACAGGTCACAAATTGTTAACATTTCTGTTAATCAAAGAAAAGCATCAAAAGCCAAGCTTCAATTTTCAGTGGGCTATCTTGAAAGACAATCATGAAACATAATATTACCTCAAATTTAGCTCATCTTTCCTCATCTTTAAGTTTAGCTTAGAAGCCATATGTCGTAAGACACAAGTCCTAATTTTTATAACAAATTAATTCCAAATCAAATAAATTAATTTGATCAGAGTGTTCAAGAAGTACAAAAAATGAAGTTGAAATTAATAAAATTGATTATATATACTATTATTTATACTTACAAGAGCCTTCCAAAAGCATCAATTATGTGGTTCCCACCTCCACCACCACCACCGTTGCTAATGGAACCCATGATTGATCGAGGTTACTTATCTAAATTTGATGAGTAGAGACTTGGAAGTGTAATGACAGTGCATCCTATCTACTTCAATAGCAGGGTACGAGGTTGCACCGTGTGAACTCAGGGATGGGGTCTGCAAGTCCAGTAAAGCTAACACCACCCAGAGGCATATAAAAGTCAAACAAAAACATTTAAAATGTCATATATATGTAGGTTGTACTAAATTTAAGGAAATACAAGAGATTTATAATTATTAATCACAATGCATGGTACTTATAACTCCAACTAAAAGTATCCATGAGATTTCTCCCATTGAACACATTTACTAATTCTTGGTTAGGAGTACTATCAGACATCACCTAAATTCAAAATGAAATTGGT